GCACCCTGGGCCCCCCCCCCCCAGCCTCGGCAGGCAGGGGGCAGGGCAGGCCCCTGGCACCCAGGGAGAAACTGCCCCACGGCCCAGGGCTGGCACGCGGCAGTGCTAGCTGTGATCGGCGCCCGAGCCCTGTGCTGCTGAAGCATAGGGAAGAGCATGGGGGCTCATCGTGTGCTAAAGTTTCCACCCGTGTTATCTCACTTAATCCTCCTCGAAGCCTATGAAGAAGGTTCCCATTTTACAGCCCAGGTTAACACCTGGCTTAGGCCACACCCTGGATTAGCACTCAGGGAGCCCCTGATCTGGGTGCTTTTGGGAGACTGCCCTCGACCCCCATAGCTCTGGCCTTCTGGGGGACAGAGAGGAGGTGGCCAGGCAGGAGTCCCCTTCCTGAGGGTTCAAGGACAGAGCAGTGGCTGTGGGTACCGCAGAGGCAGCACTTTAGCTGCTGGTGGGAGGTGGCAGCTGGCCCCCCGCTGAAGCTCAAGACACCTGAGCACGTGGCTCACCCAAACTGGAACCCCGTCCCGGGACAGAGCAAGACGGCGATAAGGCCTGTTTTGCTGACTTTACAAAAGAAAGAAAGACAAGGAAACTCAGCCCTCTCTGTGAAGCTAGCAATGGGAGGTCCCCAGGTAAACGAACTCACATCTTTTCCCTTCTCCCTTCACCCGAGAGGTGGCCAGCCGAAGGGTCACTCAGGTCCCCGTTAGCACTCCAGCCAGCCGTCCGGGCCCTGTGGGTCCCTGCAGGCCGGTCGGCAACCACACAGGCCAGTCCTCCTGGCGTTGGCAGGAGCGCGCTGTGTGCTAAGCACTTTACATGGATCATTTCACTTAATCCTCATAACTGCCTCCATGACGCCCAGTCCTATTATTTCCCCCGTTTCCGAGGACTGAGGTTCTGGGAGCCGAAGCGATGTGTATGAAAGTCCCGTGCTCCGTAAATGGTAGGCGATCATTGTCAAACCCCGAAGGAGGAGTGGAATTCGTCCGTTATTCACGCGGTCACTTTTTTGGCACCGGGCTCAAGGTTCTCTCCTTCCCTTCATGGAATTTACTGCCCCCTTTGTGGACCGAGAAGCGTGGAAGACAAAATCCTACGCGGTCTTGTGTTGGCAGGGGGGTAAGCCGGAAGCGGCTGGTACCCGGACAGTGTGATACCGAGTCTGTGGCTTTCAGGGAGGGGGTGCTAGGAAGGGGCTGGATGGATCAGCCAGGGCTTGAGCACATGGAGGAAGGGTGGGAAGAGCCTTTGAGGGGAGGAAGAGTGGGGCACCCCAGCTCCAGGCCCTGCCCTTGTGCATGGGGAGTCCGGTGGTCCAGTTCTGGCCAATGGGGGGATGACCTTAAAAAGCACCCCACTGTCCATCCTTGCTGGACAGGCACACTGTCCCATCCCATAAACCAGAAGACCCTCATCTCAGCCCCTGTGCTGCCCACATGGGGTGAGGCTAACATCCCTGTGTCAGGGATAAATCCCCACGTGCATGATGGCCTCAGCTCTTTCTCCTATATGGTCTCCCTGAGCTGCCTTGACCCAGGCCCACAAGGAATCACTGTCCCCACATTACAGATGAGGAAACTGAGGCCCTGCAGATAGGGGCAAGCTGTCCAGGATGGGGCATCTGGGATTCTGTCTCGGCCTGACCTGCGGGGAATCCTGGGCTATAAGGAGAGGGCTGAACCCAAAGCAGATGGCCTGGCCTCAGGTGACCCCTGGGCAGCTCCCTGCCCGTTGGAGCCTCCGTCTTCCCATCCATCAAATAGGGATGAGGGTCACTTGAGTCAGCGCACAGGCCCCAGCTGAGCTGAACAGGCCAAACCCGCCTCCCCCCCGTGCAGCCAGTCTGATGGGGGAGGCCGACAGCCAACAGTGGGAAACATGACAACACCCGTCGTGTTCTGCGGTGTCTGCCAGTGCCGGGCGCTGAGTAACTCCAGGGTCCCCCCAGCCCTGGGAGCAGGGCGAGGGGGCGGTTTTATCTCTGGGTCCTGGTGTGGGGGCCGGCATGCCTGCCGCCCTGAGGAGCAGGGACCGAGGGCCCAGCCCGAGCTAGGGCAGGCCCCAACTTGAGGCGGCTCCTGTGGGACTGATTTATCGGCAGCCACTCGGCAGCCCAGGGGAGCCGCATCCCTAGGGCGTGTTGGGTGCCCCCAGCTGGAATGAATCCGGCGGGAGGATGAGTTTGGTCATGCTTGGGTTGTCAAGAACTGAAGAGTAATATTCTCTCCTAAAAACATTTCCCGTGGATACCAGACTCGCTTGCTTGTCCCAGGCAGAGGCTGGGGAATCCTGTGCTCGTGCTCTGTGACGTCAGGCAAGCCCCTCACCCTCTCTGAGCCCCTAGAGCCCCCTCTAACGTGGGGAGAAGGGTCGCCTGGCTGCTGGGCTTGCTGGGGGTTGGAGTTAGATAATACACGGAAGGGTTCAGCTTTGTGCCTGCCACACCCTCGTTAAATCCACCCCAAGTAAGATGCGCAGCTGTCTCTGGTTTTGGTGCACGGCATGAGTGTGAGTTGTCTGTAACTTGGGAGTAAAGCATCTTTAGGAAATTTGGCCATTTGGAGAAGTCTGGAACCATTACTGAGTAAACCCGGCTCCATAAGAGTTCTGGTCCCCCTCTGTCCCAGCACATAGCTCAGGACACGCCAACTTTTCTCTACCTTCCTGGTGCTTCAGCCGCAGAGCAAGGGAGCTGGGTGTCAGGAGCTCACGGCTGGGTCTTATCTTCCTTTAGCTGTGCAAACTTTGACAAGGGGCCTCAGTTTCCCACCTGTAAAATGGGCACAGGCACTGCTGTGTCACCTCCTTGAGATAATGTGTGTAAGGTGAAGTAAGGAACCCCTTTCAGAACCTCTCTATGTCTGGTAGATGCTCCCCTCTCTGCAATCTGGATCTCACAAGGCTTGGAACAAAATTCCTTTTGGGGGTTATTAGGCCTAGGGTGTCACTGGGAGCAAGGCAAGTGTGGGCTCAGGAACAGAGGTGAGAGGGCTGTGGATCTGCATTGCTGGAACCTAGGGCCCTCTGTGGGCGAGGGGACCCTGAATCTGCTATCTTTAGCTTCCTGGGGTCACAGCATCCCAGCTCCACCACTGCTAACCAACTTTGAAACCTCAGGCTCAGAACCTCAGCTTCTTCATCCACAAAATGGGCAGATATTCCAGTTTCATGGGCAGAAACGTGGCCAGCTGGCCAGTCTCGAGGAAAGGACAAGGCTTGGAGGCTTCTAGATGGCTGCAAGGACTCCCCTCCCCAACCCTGGACACTCATGACAGTCCCAGCAGCCCTGTGTGGGGATCTCTCTGTATGTTAGGATGTTACAAGGCCTCGAGGGAGACAACTTTACCAGTGAATAGAACTGAGACTCAGAGAGGGAAAGTGTCCACACATTGGTGGGGCTGGGATTCAAGCCCCAGTTTGTGACTCCAGAGTGATGTGCTATGACATTGTCTCCTGGCCTCACCATCAGATGTAGGAGGAGGTGGAAAATGGTGCCTTGTTTCCTGCTGGAATCTGCAGGCTTAGCACCGTGCCTGGAACACAGGAGGGACTCAGTGAAGGCTTATTCATTGAATGAAGGAAGGAAGGAGCAAAGGAGAGAATCTTCCTCCCCAGCCCCAGCTCCTCCCAAGAATGCAGGTCCCAAAGCTGGGTGTCTCTGGGGCTCCAGGGTGGGGGCCCCAAACCTAGTTAGTCATGGCCCGGCCTCAGCCTCCTGGGCCCATCCCTCTCGGAGGATTTTCTCTGCAGGCTGTGGCTCAGCTCCCGGGGGAGGCCTCCCCCCTGATCCCAGAGGGCAGGATGGGCGGGGTAACTCCTGCCTGGCACAGGGCCCTGGCTGGGCTTGCACAGTGCGTTGAGGAGGGCGGGCCGGTCATGGAGTTCAGTATCTGGGTGTGCTCCCTCTGCCAGAGCTGGGCCCCCACCCCCAATTCCAGCTTTTCTCATGTCCACTGAGTCAGAAATTCACTGTCAGCCCATCTTCAAACTCAACTCTTCCCCTTCCTGGCTGTGTGACCTTGGACAGGTCACCTCCCCTCTCTGAGAGTCAGGCTCTGAAAAAGGAATAAAGAGAATAATCATCAACATACATTAGTCCTCAGAACAGAACTATTGATCACTGTTATTGGTAAATTAACAGTCCTCTGAAATGACTGCTCCATTCTTTCCCTGCCTCAGAACTCCCAATTCTTGTTCTCTTCAAATCTAATTCATACTAAGGTGTGAATGGTTGTCAAATTTCTTTCCTCTTAAGTGTGTCTGACCCAAGCATTACCATGATCTGTGGTGTTTCTGGTGCTGTGTGAGTAAAAAGAAATGTAGGGGATTTTTATTGAGGGTATAGAATAGAAATAGACTCCTTCATCCCTATCACCTAAAGTCCCTTTATGCAGCAGCTGGGGATGGGCAAATGGCACTGGTGTGGTTGGGGAGTCCACACTCTTAGTGTGTACTGCTCTGAGCAGTTTGGCATTGTGTAAGGAAGTTTTGAACACACAGCAGGCCCTTAGCAAATATCTATCTGGAGGATGACAAGAAAATGGGCTGTGTCCTAGACCTGGACAATCCTACCCTCCCCACTTTCACTGCATCCAGTGAACTCCTACATATCCTTCAATGCCCAGTTCGGCTGCCCCTCCTCCAGGAAGCCTTCCCAACTTAATTCTGGTCCAGTTAATCTTTTAGGAACTCTAGTCCATCAGAGATGGACAGACCCTGAGTTTATCCTGCCTAACTCTCCTATTTCCCAAGGGGGTGGGGGAAACAGACCCAACAAGGGATCTTCCCTTGGTTGAGGTCTCACAGCCCAAGTCAGAGGCAACAGCAGGAGGATTCGAACCGAATATCTTTAGATCTCCTTAGACCATCTTTAGGCATGAAAAGAGGGTGTGGACACTGCCTCTCTGCTCAGGCCTCTGCCACTCTACCCCCATTAGGGCCTCCCACAGAGGGGAGCACACAGCTAACGTCCTCTCTTCCTTCTTTCTCTGCAGCCCTCGACCTTCCCGCGAACAAGGCCTCGGCAACCCAGCCCGGCAGCCACTTGCAGTGCCTGTCTGTCCACTGCACAGACGATGTGGGCGATGCCAAGGCCCGAGCCTCCGTGCCCACCTGGCGGTCTCTGCACTCCGACATTTCCAACAGATTCGGGACATTCGTGGCTGCCCTAACTTGAATTGACAAGAAATACCCTCTCCCCCACCAGGCCCTTCCCTCCCCCATCTCTCTCTGCTCCCCCCTTCACCTGTCCCCAACCCCCACCCCACCCTGTTAATTTGAAAGGGCCACTATTGCTGAGTGGATGATTTTTTTTTTTTAGGTTGGTACCTGCTTAGTGGCATATGGACCGGAAAGGGTTAATTTAAAGGGAAAAAAAAAAACCTCAAAAAATTTTTTTAAAAAAGAAACTCATCTGCCACGGTATGTTACCAGTGTTAACCCTTCTGCAGTTAGCAAACTTTTGCTGAAGCCTTTTTCTTGCTAGATAATTCCCACTTTTCTGTAATCTTGGCATACGGTTTTTAGATGACCTCTTTCCTTGTTTTATTTTCGTGCTGCTGTATGTCCAAGTATTGTTATTTCATAATAAGACAAGAGTTGCTTTCCTTTTTTATTCTCTTTTAGTCTTGTTCCTTCCCATCTCCCCCTCCCCCTGCCTGTTTTTTTTTTTTTTCTTTTCCTTTTTTGCTTTGTTCACTGCTTATTAAAATGGAAATCCTGGAGAATAGTAGTTCTGGAATATTGGCGGGTGAGAGTCAAATTGTCATCACAATATTATCTATTGACACCCAACTGTCATCAGTCAGGCAGGAGCCAAACAATTAATGCCCCCCTTAGGTATTCCGCCTGGGATTTTGTTTTGTCTGTTCCCTAAGAAAATAGAGATATATATTTTCGTTCCTACCAACACACGCTCAGCCTTCAGCTCCATTCTCTCTTCTGCGGGAAGCTGCCTTTCACTGCGATGGAGGTGATGACGTGTCCAGCCCGCTCCGCGGGAAGGAGCCGGAATGTTCGACAGTGGTGTTTTCTCTCCTTTTCTGGGCCTCTGCACAAATGCCCAGACGCTGAATTTTCACGCTGTGCCGAGCAGCCCTGGGCCGCGTCGGGATGGTGCCTGTCCAGCTTGCAGAGTCTCCGGGGGCTCCAGGCTGTCATCCCTGCTACAGCCGGGCCACCTGGGTCTTGGGTGCTGGAGTTGAAGGATCAGTTCTCAGCCCTGACCTTTCCTGATTTCTGTTCCCAGACAAGCATCAGGGGAAGGAGCGGAGATGGGTTATCTCCCTGACTTCTCCCTTTCCGTCTCCCCTCCAGCCTGCACAGCCCCCAGTCCCTGGGAAGGACCAGGCTTTTGCCAGCACTTTTCGAGGTGCTTGTTGAGTGAAGGAGCCCCCAGGCTCAGCCTGCCAAGCCCCCCTGCCCACCTTCTCCATGCCTGGGTGTAATCTTTGCAGGGGTTTGCAGACTTCTAAGGGCCTGAGGAGGGAGAAAGGGACTGTAATGAGTGACCTTGATTCTTGGGTCTTTTTTGAACCCCAGAATTCGACCCCCACCTTCCTTTTGATTTAATCTCACCCTGTTGCAAAACCAGAACCACGTCCCATGCGTCTCGTGAGGGAATAACTTCTTTGAGCAGCGGTGAGGGAGGGCTGGGTGAAGAGGGCAGCAGAACAGGGCTCCTGGACCCAGCTGAGGCCTGTCACCTGGTCGCCTCAGGGTGGTGGTCAGCAGTCACGGGTGGGGGGGCGCCCAGCGTTGTCAGGGGGCGGGGGCATCTTTGGGTGCTACGGATGACTCCAGAGGGCTTGTATGCCTCATGGTGAGTGCTGGGGGCATGCAGATTCCAGGGTGGGTCAGACAAGAAGTGACTGCTATCACTCCACCCCAATGGGTAACTCTTCTATTTTATTTCAGTTTCTGTTAACGAGCATCTTACTAAATGCTCCATTTTGAGCCTTCTGCCCCCTCCATCCTCCCCTGCTGACCCCGCCCCATGTCCCCAGAGTTTGCAGACCTGGCTTTTTTTTTAACAAGTGACCTGAAGGCTTTGGGGTCCCCATACAACACCCACATTGTTTATTTCAAAGAACTTTTCATCAAAGGGAGAAGAGCATCCAGAAAAATCTTGCTCTTTCTAGTCCCTCCTCCTGTCTTTCCTGCAGCCAGCCCTCTTGGCTCGGGCCTGAGTCTGCACGGTCCAAGGTTCCTGCATGGGCAGCCTGAGGAGGCGGTGTGAACCGATCTGCGAGAAGGTGGGAGTTGACTCGGTTCCTGGGTTCTGCCACCAAAGGAGAGAAAAGGGGAAGGAACGTGCCCCCTGTTACGGGCTGCAGGCGCGTCAGTCACGGTCTGAGCAAAACTCCTCACCCCTCTGATTCCACAATGTACAGCTGTTTGAGAGCTTCGTCCTTTCATTCCTTAAACAGGAATGATTTCTCCTTAATTGCTTAAGGCCGGGGAGCAAAGTGTCTTGACTTGTCTTTGACTTTTCTTGTGTTGAGTCCATCAGCACACGACCATCAGCTCGTGGTCCTGGCAGCCTCAGAAATCCCTGAAGTTTTAAACGTTCTCGCTCCCCACGACCCCAGAAAGGAACAGCTTTAAAAATAGCCTTAAGCAAAAGGATGTTATTTCATTAAATTTGGTTTAATGGAAAGAATAAAAGCAAATTAAAAACACACCCAATCCACGAGACTCCAAACACTGGTAATCGGTACTGCATAGCAAACTCTTTGGGAAAGAATATGAAAACGTTATTGCACATGTAAAATATGAGAACTTAACTCTGCTGTGTGTTAGGCAATCCTGTAATCTTTTTTGACTCTTAAAAGAAATTCATTTCTGAAATGCTTGGTTGGAAGACTGTGACAATAGCTCATGAAATTGAGTGTTATTTTTTTCTTTCTTTTTTAAAAAAAATATGTAAAGTGCAGTCTTCTGTATTCATGCATATTGTATATACCTGTATATGTTTTCCTGAGCAGCTAAATAACAATAAATATGACGTTAATGGTGACTGTGGTACATTTGTGGGCGGGGTTTGCTTTATTTTTATCCCCTCCCACCCCTCCCCTTCTCCATGGGTCTCTTTAAATTCCGTGGGGGATGGGGTGTTGGTCTGGATGCTGTAGTGTGTGTGTGCGTGCGCACGCGCGTGTGTGCACATGCATGTGTTGATATGTTCTGAGTTGGGTCATCTGAGAATTTCTCTATTCCACACTATTGATACTTGGACTGGGTAATCCTTTGTGGCAGGGGAGGGGCTGTCTTGTGCATTGAACTGTGGTTAAAAGCTGGCCACCACCCACTAGATGCCACCTCTTCCCCTCCTCCGCTCCCTTGTGACAACCCAAAATGTGTCCAAACATTCCTCCATGTCCTGCGCCGGGCATGACCCCTGGGGCTGAGAACCACTGCTATCTGATTAGGGCAGGAGGCGGGAAGGCGGGGAGGGGGAGGCCATCCAGGTGGCTGGGCGGTGTAACGGTTATTCTTTTGGGTCCCGAAATTCAGTTTCAGATCCCAGTTAAGTTTTGCTGTCTCTTGCAAGTTAGATAGGTTCTCAGCAACTCTGTTTCTTCACCTAGGAAATGAATAATGTATGGGGACACTATAGGAGATGCTGTGTGCACGCAGCACGTGGGAGCGCTCCATATGCGTAAACTGTTAGCATCACATCATGATGATGAGCAGCTTGTGTGCAGCTGACAGTGTTCTGGAGGTGGGCTGTTCTGGGTTGGATGCTGCTTCCTCCGCTTAGAGCCTCAGGTCATGGATGAGTGGTTTAACCCGTCTCCATTTTCTTGTCTCTAAAATGGAGCAAATCACATCTAGCTTGAAGGTTATTACGAGCACTAACTCACGGACCCCGTAAAAGCTCTGGCGGCCCCCCAGGCCACCCTTTGGGCAGCAGCTTCACTGTGGCACCTGCAGCCTCAGATTTGAAGTCATTGCAAAATCTTAGTTTACAAAGGGGGAAATCAGAGGCGTCTACTTCCCTTCTTGAGAAATGGCTAAATCATTTTTCAAAGTGGTCATACCACTTTGCATTCCCACTGGCAGGTTATGGGAGCTCCAGTTCCTTTCAACATCCTTGCCAACACTTGCTATTATCTGCCTTTTTAGCTTAGCCATTCTAGTATGTGTGCAGTGATAGCTCATTGTGGCTGTAATTTTTATTTCCCTAATGATGTTGCATATACTTTCATGTGTTTCTTTGTTCTCTGTGTATCTTTTTTGGTGAAATGTCTGTTCAGATCCTTTGCCCAGTTCTTTACTGGTTGTTTGCCTTTTTGGTGTTGAATTCTAGGGGCTCTAGATACATCCTGGATACAAGTCCTTTCTCCATGTATTGCAAATATTTTCTCCCACTCTGTGGCTTTTTCTCATGGTGTCTTTTGAAGTGAAAAGTTTTAAAATTTTGCAAGTTCCGCGAAGTCCATTTTATCAAGTTTCTTCTATGGTGAGAGCCATCTGTGTCTTCCCTAAGGTCTTGCTTTCGCCTTAGTTTTATGGTTTTAGGTTTGGCTTTCACGTTGAGCTAGCTTTCTGTGGCATATTTTGATTTATGAGGTTTGCATTTGGCATGAGGCAAAGATAAGAGTTTTTTATTTCCAGAATATCTAGTTGTCTCAGCACCATTGGTTGAAGAGATTTTCTATTAGATTGTTTTGGTATCCTTGTGGAAAATCATTTGGTCATGTACACGGGGGTCTATTTTCAGACCCTCTATTCTATTGATTTTGTTGTCCCCCTTTCACCATATGGATTAATTCTAAGCTGGGTTCACATGGGAATTTTGGTAAGCTCTCTCTGAAGAATGGGCAAGAGAGGGAGTCTGGAAGGAAGATACCAGTGTGTCCAACTGTAATTCTAAAATAAACACCTCAGAAACATGACAATGCCACTTTTGCCTGATGAAGACCCCTAGCCTGAGAATTTCTTTCTTTTTCTTTTTTTTTTTTTTTGGTTGGAAAATGAGGTCAACTCGTCTGAGAGATGGCGAAGACCTAGTAGCACTGAGCAGAGACGTTCTCTGTGCAGCAACGAAAGGCTTGGAAAGAGTTGAAAGAGCAGTGACTTTCTCACTAGGAGGTTGGGAGTTGCTCAAGGCTGCATTTGGGCACCTCATGGGCCATCCTGCCCCAGACTTCCCAGAAACATTGCTCAATCTCTCCATTTCACATGCAAAGAAACAGAGGCTCAGAATGTCCAGGGTCTTGTTAAGGGTCATGTAGCCAGTCATTCACGGAGCCAGAACCAAATACCCTGCCTCCTGCTCCCTGACACTAACTGTCCCTTGTCCCAAGAGCCTGGAGGGGAGGACGGCTCCATGAAGGAGGAAGTTTGTTTTGTTCACCTCAGTATCTGTGGCAGCCAGCATGGGGCCTGACCCACAGTAGGGCCTCACTAGATACGGGTCAAATAAAAGGGACCATTGGTGGTTCCCCCTTTCTTGCTCGAAGCCTTCCTCACTTTTGGCTGCTGTTGGGTTAATGGGTGGAGAATGGAGCTTGTGTATAAGGGTGAGAGCCGATTGCTCAGATTCTGACTCTGGCTGCTGTACTCTCCTGGGGCCACTCATGGCTGTGTTCACAAAAACATACCACCAGTGATGAGGGAAGCCTGTTATGAAGATTAACGCAGCCAGGGAAGGAATAGAAGGTGACAAGGAATGGCTCAGGAATGCCTCTCTGAAGAAAGCCAGGGGAAGAGACTGAGAAAATTGGGGAACGGGCCAAGCAGATATCTGGACAGAGGGAACAGCACGTGCAAAGGCCCTGTGGTGGGAGGACCTTTGGTATGTTGGAATAAGAGTGAGGTAGCCATGAGGAGAATGATTCTGTGGGGCCTAGAGTTTATAAAGAGGAAGAACAGGAAGGGACTTCCAGAAACTGGCCTCTGTTCTCTGAACCTCTCACTCTGTCTGCTGCATTTAAAGATAAAAACTGAAATAAGCTTCCACATCCTCTTTGTCTCACCATTCTCTCCTGATGCCAGAGTTTTGATTCTGATCCCACTTGCTTCCTTATTGCCTGAGCCTGGCTTGTCTCCCTGGATCTCGGAGTCTCTGGCTCCCCTCAAAACTCACTTGTTATCAGCCATTCATCTCACTGTATTTTGCTGAGGAAAGTGATAGAAAGAGGCTGCCAGGCCCAAGGGGACAGCACCAAAGTCTGGGGATGCAGGGAAGGGGACACTTAGAGGCTCCGGGGAATGGCTGTGATGCTCCCTGCATTGAGCTGGGAGCTCCACTTTATCTTTTGATGGTTTGGGGTTTCTAGTACCATTTCTGGCCTGCAGGGATGGGGAGGGGACAGTGAATAACACTGCTGCTGCTGCTAATACTGATGGCGCTGGGAAGCGCAGAGCTCTGAGCTTGTGGGCTGGTGGGCGGGCCGGGGGTGTGTTATTCTAGTTGTACTTTTTATCAGGATTTGAGCAAGCAGGGATAACCTCACTCCTCCTAGCAAGGCCCTGTGGTTACCTTGTCTTTCTAGGGAGAGTAGGGACCCCAGAGGATCTGGAACCTGGGTCTGGCATTGTCCCCTTAGTTGTAGGGGGGCTCACCTCCCTCTGTGATGTGGGAGGTGAGGTGATGGGGGGAAGGTAGGGGCTGGGAGGCAGACAGCCCATCGGCTCTAAATCTTGCTCACTGGCTGGCAGCTGCCGAGCCTCAGTTTCCTCATCTGCAAAATGGGGCTGATTTGAGCACTTACTACATAGAGATGCAAGGATTAAATGCAGTAAGAAGGCTTTCCATGGGGGCTGCTTGAACAAGCATTCGGTATCTGTCGGCTGCTGTTGGCGGTGGAATTAACCATACAGGCCTTAGTTTCTCCCTTTGCCAAGTGGAGGAAGTGAAAATGTGCTGTGTGTGATGTTATGTGCAGGGTTAGCATTTCACTTTCACTGAGGAGTGATGTTAACAGCACAGGAGGCCAGCTCTCTAATGAGCCCCATTTTCTGGAGAAGGAAGCTGAGACACAGAGAGGTAAAGCCACTTGGCCGACGTTACCTGGGCAGCTGGTGGTAACTCCTCATCCTGGGCCACGAGGAGTCAGTCATGCTCAGCATAGGACCAGGACTGGCCAGCCCCCAGTGGGTGATATAGATGAAGCTCAGAGAGGCACATCCACTTACCTGAGGGCACACAGCCCGCCAGTGGCAGAGCGTGGGCCCAGTTTGGTGCTTTCAGGTTCAAGGGGTCAGCTCTTTTTCGTTCTCCCCACCCTGCTCTGCCCTCAAATCTCCATCCTTTTGGCTGTTGCTGGCTAAGTGGTTGGAGAGGAGAGGCTGGCGAGGAAGAGGCTACTGATTTTAGTGCCTCCCCTTCCTCTGGCTCCCAGCAGTGTTTGGGCTGAGGGCTGGGCCAGACTAGCCTCCCCTCCTGTCCTCTGGCCGGAGGTGGGAACTCCTTCCTCTTGGAACTGGAGCCCTGCTGGTGGGATGGGGGCTGGAGTGGGGCTCGGGGGGCCGCGGGGATGGCGGATCAGCGGCACCGTGCACTGTGGCTATGGCCTTTGTCCCACCATCACAGCCCCTTCTGACGCCCTGGGGGAGACTGACCCCACGGGAATTTCACCCGCAGAAGCACATTCTTTCTGGCTGTGCCTCCGGAGCCCCCCGCCAGCCACCCCAAGCAGCCCCCACTCCCCCGGCTTTTGTCCTGAGGAGGAACCCTCAGGAGTTCTGAGCCCCTTGGAGGACAAAGGGCTCATTGAGGCGCCAAGGTCAGGCAGAGGGGGAGGAGGAGGGAGCAGGGCAGAGCCACTGACAAGAGCTGACAAGGCTGCTTCTGCCGCACAGACCCCCCACAACCCTGAGGACCTTGCCTTGGGGAGCCTTGATCTACCCATCTGTGAGATGGGGTGATTGGGGTATGGTGCGAGTCCGTGGTGGCTGGTCATTGCCTGTAACTGTCATATTTATAGTGTATGGGGTTGAATATTGTCGATCTAATACTGAGTCTGCCACCGTGCTTGGAATCTCTGGGGCCAGCTGTGTTTCCAAATC